CGAACTCAAAACTCGTGAGATCTGATCTTACTACCTATACTACCTCCTCTGAGACTAGTAATCCTATTACTCTACTCTATCTACTAACTCATAGCATACTACTTTTACTGTATCTACTTACACTCCATAGACTACCTATCTACTATAACTACTACTACCTACCACTCCTCCTGTCTTCCTATCTATGTCCCGTCCAAGTCGCTCCTCTCAACATAGACACATGCGCTCTCCTCACTCACGCTGTCTTAGTGTGGCCTTGTTAATGTTCCATGTGGGACCGATACCTCTTGTGTATTGTTACACTCACCGTACTGTTGATCTCAGTTATCATTAGTTATTACAGTTATCGTAAGTTATCAATTAGATTAGTTGTCAATCATTAGTTATCAGTTGTCAATCATTATGGCTTATCGTAGTTCTCTTTTTCATTCAGTTATTCATCTCTCAGTTATAAGTTAAGCATGTTTTTATTTATCACAAATCGTTCGCTTTCTACTAGTGATTTATTATCTATCTTATTATTATGTACCATTTATTCATAAAATATTAATTTTGCTACCTACTTACCATCAGAATGATGAACCTACTTACTTCACGTTGTATAAACTACTGACATCACCATGATAAACCTACTTACCTCACTATTGATGAAATCTCTACTTACTTCCACTTGATTTAAACCTGTAATGACACTCACCTGATATCACAACTCTCTTTACCTCACTTGTTGCAACCATAATTTTCTCTCATCACTTGATGTTGTACCTACTGAGACCACATGTATTGAAGCTACTCCTACTTGTTACGAGTTCAGACTTGATCTGTACATATACTACCCCCTTAATGACCTATGGACCTACTTGATCTCTACCTAGTTACCTCGCTTGATGCACAGTCTCTACCTTACAACTGCACTTTGTTATTCACTTCTATGTCTCACTTCACTTGTATGATACCTATTTAATCTAACTGTGTTTGTACGCTACTTACATAACTTGTTGGTAGCATAACTTAGACCCTTCAACTTGGTCGAACTCTCCCTAATTATCTAAGACTTGTATCGTACATACTGTACAATCACTTGTGTTTTGCAACCTCTAGACGCGTTGACATCTTCACTTGTGATGAACCTGCCTTTACCTTTCCTTTGTGAATCATTTATTTAGACAACTCACTTGTGTGCAGAACCTAACTTGCTCTCATTGTTTTCCTTACTTACACTCAACTTGTACCTTCCTTACCCTCACTCTAGTATGAAACCTACTTAATTCACTTGTAATGTACCAATCGTACTCACTTGGTCGTACTACTTACCTCACTTGTTCTGCACCTAGACTTACGCCTCATCTTGATTGAAGCCTACTTATGCGCACTCACAGTTGTTGCAGGCTATTTACCTCCACTTGATGGTAAACCTATTTTTCATACACCCACTTGTTTTACCTACTTTACCTCACTGATGTAACCTTACTTACCTACTGTTGTACCTACTTACTCACTTGTTGCTCCTAGACTTACTTCATACGCATTGATGAACTCCTCTTCTTACATCTTCATTGGGGATGCGTGTACCTTACTTACGCACGCTCACTTAATTCGTACCTACTTATCTCCTCACTTGCTTGAGCGAGAACCTCTACTTTCCTATCACCTTGTTTAATTGTACCCTACTTACCTCACTGATGAACCTACATTACCTCTCACTTGTTGACCACCGTACTTCACTTGTTGAAACCTAACTTACTTCAACTTGTGGCACCTACTTACTTCTCTCTTATTCTCATACCTACTATCATCCCTCACTTGCTTGCACCTGAACTTACCTCACTTGTTGTACTACTTACCGTACTGATGAACCTACTTACTCACTTGTTGCTGCACATCTACTTACTGCTTGATGAAGACTACTTGCTTCACTTGTTGTACGCCTACTTACCTCACATTTGCCTGTACCTACTTAGTCACTAGATGTACCTTATCACCTCACTTGGATGAACTTACGTACGTCACCTCAATGTACATACTAACATCAGTATGCCCTCTTACTGAGTTGAAGGTACATATTACCGCTCCTAATTTCCTTGACAGAAAGAGGTACCAAAACTTGCTAAAGATTCGACCTTTACGAAGGTACACCAGCGATTCGCTCCAGCTCAAGGGCATGAGGTAACTAAGTTAACCATCAATGGGTGAGTACCTAATTTAACCTTCTTCTCAAAGAGTTTGAGTACCAATTGACCTCAAGAGTGAGTACCTAATTAACACTCAAAGTTGGAGTACCTAGGAAACCGCTCAAGAGTGAGTACTGATCTTTCAATTCTCAAAGAATTGTGAATACCTAATTAACCCTTGAAGAGTGCTGTACACTCAATTAACCCTCAAGGGTAGTATTACCTAATTAACCTTCATGGGTGAATACCGATTTATACGTATATAGTTTTTTGTTTTTCTATAAGTATCTATATCTATGTAATATCTATAGCAAATTTATCTAATCAATTCTATCTTTCTCTCTCGCTATATATTGACATTATACCATAATTGCAACAACTACGTGTTTTATATATATTATATATATATATATATATATATTATTATATGATATAGAAATTATATATATATTACCTATTAAAAAGTATCTTTAAGTATTTTTAAGTTTATAATTATCTGTTTCGTAGTATCTTTAGGTTGTATAATGTATGCCAACAGAGGCAGCAAGAGGACTCACTGAAGCAGAATCACCAGCAGCAGCAGAGATTGTAAGTCGCGGCAGCTTCGGCAGTAGTTACTATCAGAGGTCAGAGGCAAGTGCTACCTGACCCTACAAACTGTTTGACACACTTGCCTCCAGCCTACCCCAGGCAAGACTCTAGAGAACTCAACTGGGTGTATCCTTTATCTATACTGCTGTATGGGGGGGTGTATAACAAGCTGCTAGTGTGTTGTATAGACTGGTTATGGTGGGTGTAATCACTCCTGCTAGTGTTGTTGTATACTGGTGTATGGAGGGGTGTATTACACCACTAGTGTGATTGTATACTGGTGATGGTGAGCTGTAGACCATCTGCTTAGCGTGTTGTATAGTACGGTGCTGCGATAGGAGGGTTGTGTTTACACTGCTAGGACCAAAGCTGCAAGTGTGTTGTTTATGCCGTGTATGGTGGGTGTATACACCCTACTAGGTATTTTGTGTTGGTTTACTGGTGGTATGGGGTGCGCTATACATCTGGCTTAGTGTGTTTTGTATACTGGTTGTATGGTGGGTGTGTATACACCTACTAGTGTGTTGTATTCAAGCTGGGTGTAGTTATGGGTGGCTGGTATTACCGGACTAGCAAGTGATGTTTTGTATACTGGGTTATATGGTGGGTGTATTACATCCTGTTGTGTGTGAATATACTTGGTATATGGTTACCTGACTCCAAGTGGGTGTATATACCTACTGGCGTTAGTGTGTTATTGTATAGATGGAATATATGGTGGTGTATAGACCTGATAGTGTGTTGTATACTGGTGTATGTAGAAGGTGGGGTGTATACACCTGCTGGGTGTGTTGGATCATTGGATGTTTTGGTGGGTGTATATTCACAGCTGTCTGGTGGTGTTGTTATACTGGTGTATGGTGGTATTATACACTGCTTAGTGATGATTGTATATGGTGTATGGTGGGTGTATACACCTGCTGGTGTGTTGTATACTGGTGTATGTGGGTGTATACACTTGCTAGTGTGTTGTATACTGGTGTATGGTGGTATATACACCTGCTGGTGTGTTGTATACTGGTGTATGTGGGTGTATACACCTGCTGGTGTGTTGTATACTGGTGTATGTGGGTGTATACCTGCTGGGTATGTGTTGTAACTGGTGTATGGTGGGTATATACACCTGCTAGTATGTTGTATACTGGTATATGGTGGATATATACACTTGCTAGCGTGTTGTATACTGGTGTATGGAAGGGCTATATACACCTGCTAGTGTTGTTGTATTACTGGTATGTATGATGGGTGTTATTATTATCCATGGTTGGTGTATCTATGTATTAGACTGTGGTCGAATAATTGGTGTATACATCTTGCTGGAGTGTTGTAATACTAGTGTATAGTGGAGTGATTATCACTTGCTGAGGTGTATTCGTGTGTTTGATCCGGGATTATACGTTGTTATCATGTATTATCAGTCTGATGATCATGAGAATTATAACGTCTAGGCCTTAGTTGCAGCTCTACTAGTCTCTTGCTAGTTTATTTCTTTTAATAAAACTAATAGGTAACTAGTAGCACTAGGTACTTTAGTTTCTTAAACTAAGTACTAGTAGCACTAGTAGCGTATTTTTAACTAGTACTAGTAGCACTATTTACTGTATTTCTTAAACTTAGTACTACTTAATGTTTGTCCTTAACTAGATCTGACTAGTTTAGTTAATAGTTATACTGTGTTTATCGCTCGTTAATCATTAACTGCTGAGTGACTAATACTTGTTTGTTCCTAATAGTACTAGGTGTACTAGGTTGTGTCTTCAATTAGTTAAGCACTAGTGTAGTGAATGTCTTAACATTAATGGTTACTTATTATGATTGGCTCTGAAAACTAGTATTATATTAGCGTTAGTTCATAGTGATGGTCTTTATACTATTAACTCGTTCCTAGTAGTTCTATGCCGGTGTTTGCCTCTCCTTCATATTATTAGTAGACTAAGTAGTATGTAGAGTTATGTCTTTCTCTTACATTATTACTAAGTACATTATCTTACTAGTGACTGGTCTTCCTTAGAATACTAGTATGATCATTACTAGTATGTGGTTAATGACAGTCTACTCTTAACTAGTACTAGTGGTACAGATATGGACAGCACTTCTTTAACTGTACGAGTTACTAGTAGTATTAAGTACTTTTTTAACAGATTGGTACTAGTAACCTAATACTAGTGTTTGTCTTCCACAACTAGTACAAGTGAGTGTCTTCCTTGACAAGTAACTAACAGTTATGGGTACCGGGGTATGGATACCCAGAGGAACTTGTGGGTACTGACGTCAGGTGAGCTGGTGTATTACGTGGCTGCTGTTGTTGTACTGCTGGATCATACACACAATACACAGAGACATTATACTGAGCATACCGAGGATATACAGTGGTGAGTATTGTTATATTGTGTTGTACTCACCTAATTGTGGCTGCAGGGGTTGAGTCTCAGCTCCTGGCCTCGCATCTTCACTGGTCGCTACTAGGTCCTCTCCCTGCTCCAAAAGCTTTATCATGCCTCGTCTTAAAGCTGTGTATGGCTCCTGCCTCCACTACATCACTTGCCAGACTATTCCACTTCCTAATAACTCTGTGGCTGAAGAAATACTTCCTAACATCCCTTGGCTCATTGAGTCTTCAACTTCAATGTGACCCCCTTGGTTTCTATGTCCCTCTCTGGAACATCCTGTCTCTGTCCACATTGTCTTATTCCTCGCAGTTTTTGTATGTCGGTTATCCATGTCTCCATGACCTCCTGTCCTCCAGTGTCGTCAGGACACCTCGATTTCCTCAACCTTTCTTCGTTAGGATATTCCTGAGTTTCTGGATCTAACCTATTGCAAACCTTTGCACTTTCTCTAATTCCTTTGTGCTTGACAGGTGTGGGTTCCTCAATGGTGCTGCATACTCCAGTAGGGCCCCTGCGACGTTCACAGTTGTACCAAGTGGCTTGAATCGATTCCTTATTAAGGTTTCGGAATGCTCGGATTCTGCAGGTTTGCCAGGCGCCCGTATGCTGCAGAAGTTATCTGGTTGATGTGTGCTTCCGGAGACATGCTCGGTGTTATACTACCCCAAGATCTATCTCCTTGAGCGAGGTTTGCAGTCTCGGCCACCTAGCTTATACTCCCGTCTGCGGTCTTCTTTGCCTTCCCCGATCGTCATGAATTAGCATTTGAAGGGTTAAATTCAGAGCCAGTTGCTGGACCAGGTGTCCAGCCTGTTCCAGGTCTCTTTGAAGTCTGCCTGGTCCCTTTGATTTATTTCTCCTCATTAACTTCACATACATCTGAGAACAGGGAAAACTTCCTTATGGAGTGTCTGCTAACCCTTCATTCATTGTCGTTCACATATACATAATATAGCATTGTCTTAAGGTAGATTATGGGACCCAACGATTGTGCCCAAAGTGATACCTCATCACGTACCTTGACTCGTTGTTGCTCCACCTGTCAGGGGGTATTCTCTGATCCATTGCAGTGCACTTCCTGTAATACGAGCCTTGATCTCTACCTTTCTGCAACTATCTCTTGTAGTTACTGTACAACTGGCCTAGTTACTGTATAGTGCTAGTTAATATACACTTCTAGTCACTTCACACTGGTAATTACTGTACACCACTAGTTATGTACACTGCTGGTTATTGTACACTGCTAGTTATTGTACACTGCAAGTTACTGTACACCACTAGTTATGTACACTGCTAGTTATTGTACACTGCTAGTTATTGTACACTGCTAGTTACTGTACACCACTAGTTATGTACACTGCTAGTTATGTACAATTCTAGTTATGTACACTGCTAGTTACTGTACACCATAGGTTATGTACACTGATAGTTATGTACACTGCCTAATTTTACTGTACACCAACTTGTTAATGTACACAGTCTAGTTATGTACACTGCTAGTTACTGTACACCACTAGTTATGTACACTGCTAGTTATGTACACTGCTAATTACTGTACACCACTAGTTATGTACACTGCTAGTTACTGTATACTGCTAGTTATGTACATTGCTAGTTACTGTACACTGCTAGTTACTGTACAATGCTAGGTTACTGTACACATGCTAGTAAACCGTTACACGCTAGTATTGTACACTGCTAGTTACTGTACACTGCTAGTTACTGTACACTGCTAGTTACTGTACACTGCTAGTTACTGTACACTGCTAGTTATTGTACACTGCTAGTTACTGTACACGTGCTGTTACTATACACTGCTAGTTTCTGTACACTGCTAGGTTACTGTTTAGTGTACTTAGTTTACTGTACATGCTAGTTTACTGTAACTGATAGTTACTGTACATGCTACTACTGTACACTGCTAGTTAGTCCACTGTAGTTATTGTACACTGCTAGTTATTGTACACATGCTAGTACTGTACTCACTGCTAGTTACTCGTACACTGCTGTTACTGTTTCACTGTTTGTTAATGGTTACTCCATGCTAGTTACTGTATAGTGCTAGTTACTGTACACTGCTAGTTACTGTACACTGCTAGTTACTGTATAGTGCTAGTTACTGTATACTGCTAGTTACTGTACACTGCTAGTTACTGTACACTGCTAGTTACTGTATAGTGCTAGTTACTGTACACTGCTAGTTACTGTACACTGCTAGTTACTGTACACTGCTAGTTATTGTACACTGCTAGTTATGTACACTGCTAGTTACTGTACACTGCTAGTTACTGTATACTGCTAGTTATTGTACACTGCTAGTTATGAACACTGCTAGTTACTGTACACTGCTAGTTATTGTACACTGCTAGTTACTGTACACTGCTAGCTACTGTACACCACTAGTTATTGTACACCAATAGTTATTGTACACTTGCTAGTTATTGGACACTGTAGTTATTTTTACACTGCTAGCTACTGTACACTGCTAGCTACTGTACACCCACTGTTATTGTACACTGCTAGTTATTGTACTCTGCTAGTTACTGTACACTGCTAGTTCTATGTACACCACTAGTTATTGCACAGACTGCTAGTTATTGTACATGCTAGTTGTTTGTACACTTGCCTAGTTATTGTACACTGCTAGTTATTGTACACTGCTAGTTACTGTATACTGTTAGCTACTGTACACCACTAGTTATTGTACACTGCTAGTTATTGTACACTGCTAGTTAATGTACACTGTTAGTTAATGTACACTGCTAGTTACTGTACACTGGTAGTTACTGTACACTGCTAGTTACTGTACACTGCTTGCTTCTATACACCATAGTTATTGTTCAGTAGTTATGCACACGCTAGTACTGTACACCACTAGTTATTGTACACTGCTAGTTATTGTACACTGCTAGTTACTGTACACTGCTAGCTACTGTACACTGCTTGCTTCTATACACCACTAGTTATTGTTCACTGCTAGTTATTGCACACTGCTAGCTACTGTACACCACTAGTTATTGTACACTGCTAGTTACATGTTACAATGCTAGTATGTACTACCACTAGTTATTGCAACTGCTAGTTATTGTACACTGCTAGTTGTTGTACACTGCTAGTTATTGTACACTGCTAGTTATTGTACACTGCTAGTTACTGTATACTGTTAGCTACTGTACACCACTAGTTATTGCACACTGCTAGTTATTGTACACTGCTAGTTGTTGTACACTGCTAGTTATTGTACACTGCTAGTTATTGTACAGCTGCTAGTTAATGTCACATTTGGTGTTATGTACACTGCTAGTTTACGTACATTGGTAGTTACTGTTCACCACTAGTTATTGTACACTGCTAGTTATTGTACACTGCTAGTTGTTGTACACTGCTAGTTATTGTACACTGCTAGTTATTGTACACTGCTAGTTAATGTACACTGTTAGTTAATGTACACTGCTAGTTACTGTACACTGGTAGTTACTGTACACCACTAGTTATTGTACACCACTAGTTATTGTACACTGCTAGTTATTGTACACTGCTAGTTACTGTACACTGCTAGTTACTGTAAGGGAGCATTCCGGTGTACATATCGACTTCTTTATTTTTCAACCGATTACGTTCATTTTTAGGTGTATATTAGAGCTTATATAAACATCCTATGCTGAAGTTTCAATCATATCGGCCAAAAAGTAAATGAAATATGCAAAATTTACGAAAAATTGCATTTGGCAGGTGAGTCGTTTCAGCGGTACTTGGAAAAGTGTTTTGGACTCTTGACTGCTGATAGAAACACCTCTCTCATTTCCATCATGAGGATAGGTACCTTTTCTAAAATAAAACCTTATCTTCATGCTAAAAAAAATAAGTTTCCATAACTTTTTTGTCATATTGGAAGATGTCGGTCTTGTTTCCCACATAAATCTAAAAAAATATTTGAGGGATAGTTCAGAAGGTACCTAGTCTCTTGTAAATCAATCATTTCTATGTTTGTTGTGAAAATCAAGTCAATTCATTTTTTTTTCTTAAATAAGGATGCATTCACCCTAAATAGGTAAATAACGTTTACTTCGAGATATAGGCCGAAGCGCTGCGGCCTCACCCCCGCTGCCCGGGAATAATTTATTTTTCCCCGAAAAATATCGCCTTATTTTACATTTTCCGCGGCCTACGGTGTTTATTATAGTTAACCATTGTAATTCCGTTTTCTATCATCCACTGATGAGAGAGGGCGGACCATTCTCTTCATCACTTCAGGGGAATATCGATTGAAATTTTTTCCTTGGGCGTCATATTATGCTAAATATTTTTTTTTAAGGGTGTGTCTTTTTATGTTTATATGTATTATTATATTGCATTATGTTCATAATTGATCAATTGTGATGTGTGATAGATAAATAAGCCTCTATAATTGATATTGGTGTAGAGTGGGTGTTATGGATATATTTTGTTGGCTGGAGGTGTCGGCATTTTTATGCAATATACCCAGGGGTGTGACCTTGATTGGTTACTTGATCATAATAGCTCCACCCCAACTCTGGAATGATCTCAGATAGGTGGATTTTGTATTATATTTAGACATAAAGTTATAAGAATAACGATAAACAATAACCGGGGCAATAAACGTAAAAAAGCGTCAACAAAAGCTGATGCAGCGCTTATTACGCTAAGAGTGTAGCCAGAAAGTTCAGCTATTTTTTAGTAACAATAACTCAATTTTTTAATATTTTTTAGATTTTTTTTTTGCACCGCGCGCGTGAACCGGATGCTTCCTCTCCTATTGTTCACTGACAGTTATTGCACATGCCTAGCTACTGTACTCACCACTAGTTATTGTACACTGCTAGTTATTGTTTCACTGCTAGTTATTGACACTGTAGTTATTTACATACTAGTTTATTGTTCGCTGCTAGTTATTGTACACTGTAGTTTTTGTACACTGCTAGCTACTGTACACCACATGGAGGTTTACCTGGACAGAGTTCGGGTCAACGCCCCCGCGCCCGCCGGTCGTGACCAGGCCTCCTGGTGGGATCAGAGCCTGATCAACCAGCTGTTACTGCCTGGCTGCACGCAAACCAAGTACGCGCCACAGCCCGGCTGGTCAGGTACTGATCTCTTTAAGGTTGCTTTGTCCAAGTGCACAGCTTGAAGACTGCCAGGGGTCTGTTGGTTTATCCCCCTTATGTGTGCTGGGGAGGCAGTTGACACAGTCTCGGCCCCTGACATTATTTTATTGGCTCTTACGGCTCCATTGCTAGTGGACACCCTGCTAAAGGTATCATTGGGGGGATGTTGCATCGTTGCCAGTCTTGTGCTTTCGTAGTGAGTGATTTTCGTGTGCATGTTCGGTACTAGGTCCCTCTAGATTTTCCTGGTGTATATAATCATGTATTCTCCCTCCTGACGTTCCAGGGAATTACAGGTTTAGGAAACCTCAAGCGCTCCCAGTAATTGAGGTGTTTTATCTCGTTTATGCGCGCCCGTTGAAGGTTATTCGGTACATTTTCTAGGTCAGCAATTTCATCATACCTTGAAAAGGTGCTGTTAGTGTTCAGCAATATTCCAGGCTAGTGATAGAACAAGTGACCTGAAGAGTGTCTCATGGGCTTGCCTCCTAGTTTTGAAAGGTTTCTCATTATCTCATCCTGTCCATTTTTTCTAGCAGATGCGGATTGAATACAATGTTATGGTCTTGAAGGTGAGATCCTCGACCTGTCACTCCCAGGTCTTTGACGTTGGTGTTTCGCTCTATTTTGTGGCCCAGAATTTGTTTTGTACTCTGATGAGATTTAATTTCTGTGTTTACATATTGAGTATTGAAAATTTCTCAATCGTTGAACTTCATAAATTGTTTTCTGGCAGCCCACTGAAAAGATTTGGTTGATGTCCGCCTGGCAGCCTTGCAGTGTCTGCAATGGAAGACAACTGTCATGCTGATTCGGGTGTCATTGCAAAGGACAGAACGGGGTGCTGTGGCTGACATCCCTTGTCTATGTCAGATATAGAGGATGAGGAAAAGATGGGAGCGAGTACTGTGCCTTTGGAACAGAGCTTTTCACCGTAGCTGCCTCGGACTTTACTCTGTTGACGACTACTCTCTGTGTTCTGTTTGTGAGGAAATTATAGATCCATCGACCGACTTTTCCTGTTATTCCTTTAGCACGCATTTTGTGCGCTATTATGCCATGGTCACACTTGTTGAAGGCTTTTGCAAAGTCTGTATATATTACATCTGCATTCTTTTTGTCTTCTAGTGCATTTAGGACCTTGTCGTAGTGATCCAATAGTTGAGACAGTCAGGAGCGACCTGTTCTAAACCCCATGTTGCCCTGGGTTGTGTAATTTATGGGTTTCTAGATGGGTGGTGATCTTGCTTCTTAGGACCCTTTCAAAGTTTTTATGATATGGGATGTTAGTGCTGTCGGTCTGTAGTTCTTTGCTGTTGCTTTACTGCCACCTTTGTGGAGTGGGGCTATGTCTGTTGTTTTTAGTAACTGTGGGACGACCCCCGTGTCCATGCTCCCTCTCCATAGGATGGAAAAGGCTCGTGATAGGGGCTTCTTGCAGTTCTTGATGAACACTAGTTCCATGAGTCTGGCCCTGGGGCAGAGTGCACGGGCATGTTATTGTACACTGCTGGTTATTGTACACTGCTAGTTATTGTACACTGCTAGTTATTGTACACTGCTAGTTATTGTACACTGCTAGTTAATGTACACTGCTAGTTAATGTACACTGCTAGTTACTGTACACCACTAGTTATTGTACACTGCTAGTTAATGTACACTGCTAGTTAATGTACACTGCTATTTACTTTGCACTGCTAGTTACTTTACACTGCTAGCTACTGTACACTGCTAGTTATTGTACACTGCTAGTTACTGTACACTGCTAGCTACTGTACACTGCTAGTTACTTTACACTGCTAGCTACTGTACACTGCTAGTTACTTTACACTGCTAGTTACTTTGCACTGCTAGTTACTTTACACTGCTAGTTACTTTACACTGCTAGCTACTGTACAATACCTGTCTGATACATGTTCATTTATGCCCTAACATTAATATATTTTTTATTAATTTGTTTATCATTGAGTGGCATGTGGTACAGGGTAGCAATAATGGGAGTCAGTGTGCGTCCCTCTGGTTGCTCGGTAAACATCGATATGATAGTCCAGTTCAGTCCAGACGCTCTGCAGCATATCTGGTGTTATCATACCAACTGCATCACTCATCGAAATTGTCAGCTCCTCCAGGGTTGCAGGTGGTGGTGGCCACTTGCAGAGGACACCGGACCTAACTGTTTGCGACTTCTTTCTTTGAGGGTACGTGAAGAGCACAGTTTACTTACCACCATTACCAGAAGAGCGTCTGGAGCGAACTGCACCATCACATCGATGTTTACCGAGCAACCAGAGGGGCGCACACTGACTCCCTTAATGCTACCTTATACCGCATGACACTGAACGATATCCTGCATCTGAAGCTACTAACTCTGAAAGCTTGTTACAATAACGTTACGTGTCATACCTGTATAAAATCAGGGAGTGTTTTTGTGATCACCCTGTGTTTTAAAATTCCGGTTAATGCAGACATCTGCCTAACAATAAATCCGCTTAAGTTAGTTTATTTACGCTAAACCTTGGTACTGTTCTTTCAGCTTGGCACTGCACCCGTCACGTGACCTGGTGGCATCAGGGCAAGGGGCAGGCAGAGCTAGGGAAGCCAGTGCCCAGCTGAGGGTATGGCACACACGTACCCTAGCAACCCTCCACGTGTTGGGCAACAAGCAGCTAGGCGTGGGCATCCTAGCTGTGGCATTCTCAACCAAGGTGGGTATCAAGGAAGGTGGGTATTAACCCTGGTGGGTATCAACCCTGGTGAGTATCAACCCTGGTGGGTATCAACCAAAGTGGGTATCAACCCTGGTGGGTATTAACCCTGGTGGGTATCAACCAAGGTGGATATTAACCAAGGTGGGTATCAACCAAGGTGGAGAGCAACCAAGGTGGGTATCAACCAAGGTGGAGATCAACCAAGGTGGGTATCGACCAAGGTGGGGATCAACCAAGGTGGGTATCAACCAAGGTGGGTATCAACCCTGGTGGGTATCAACCAAGGTGGGTATCAACCCAGGTGGGTATCAACCAAGGTGGGTATCAACCAAGGTGGGTATCAACCAAGGTGGGTATCAACCCTGGTGGGTATCAACCCAGTTGGGTATCAACCAAGGGTGGGTATCAACCAAGGTGGGTATCAACCAAGGTGGGTATCAACCCTGGTGGGTATCAACCCTGGTGGGTATCAACCAAGGTGGGTATCAACCAAGGTGGGTATCAACCAAGGTGGATATCAACCAAGGTGGGTATCAGCCAAGGTGGGTATCAACCAAGGTGGGTATCAACCAAGGTGGGTATCAACCAAGGTGGGTATCAACCAAGGTGGGTATCAACCCTGGTGGGTATCAACCCTGGTGGGTATCAACCAAGGTGGGTATCAACCAAGGTGGGTATCAACCAAGGTGGATATCAACCAAGGTGGGTATCAGCCAAGGTGGGTATCAACCAAGGTGGGTATCAAACCAAGGTGGGTATCAACCAAGGTGGGTATCAACCAAGGTGGGTATCAACCAAGGTGGGTATCAACTAAGGTGGGTATCAACCAAGGTGGGTATCAGCCAAGGTGGGTATCAACCAAGGTGGGTATCAACCAAGGTGGGTATCAACCAAGGTGGGTATCAACAAGGTGGGTATCAACAAGGTGGGTATCAACTAAGGTGGGTATCAACCAAGGTGGGTATCAGCCAAGGTGGGTATCAACCAAGGTGGTATCAACAAGGTGGGTATCAACCAAGGTGGGTATCAACCAAGGTGGGTATCAACCCTGGTGGGTATCAACCCTGGTGGGTATCAACCAAGGTGGGTATCAACCAAGGTGGGTATCAACCAAGGTGGGTATCAACCAAGGTGGGTATCAACCAAGGTGGGTATCAACCAAGGTGGGTATCAACCAAGGTGGGTATCAACTAAGGTGGGTATCAACCAAGGTGGGTATCAGCCAAGGTGGGTATCAACCAAGGTGGGTATCAACCAAGGTGGGTATCAACCAAGGTGGGTATCAACAAGGTGGGTATCAACCAAGGTGGGTATCAACCAAGGTGGGTATCAACCTGGTGGGTATCAACCAGGTGGGTATCAACCAAGGTGGGTATCAGCCAAGGTGGGTATCAACCAAGGTGGGTATCAGCCAAGGTGGGTATCAACCAAGGTGGGTATCAACCAAGGTGGGTATCAGCCAAGGTGGGTATCAACCAAGGTGGGTATCAACCAAGGTGGGTATCAACCAAGGTGGGTATCAACCAAGGTGGGTATCAACCAAGGTGGGTATCAACAAGGTGGGTATCAGCCAAGGTGGGTATCAACCAAGGTGGGTATCAGCCAAGGTGGGTATCAACCAAGGTGGGTATCAACTAAGGTGGGTATCAACCAGGTGGGTATCAACCAAGGTGGGTATCAACCAAGGTGGGTATCAACCAAGGGTGGGTATCAACCAAGGTGGGTATCAACCAAGGTGGGTATCAACAAGGTGGGTATCAAACCAAGGTGGGTATCAACCAAGGTGAGTATCAACCAAGGTGGGTATCAACCAAGGTGGGTATCAACCAAGGTGAGTATCAACCAAGGTGGGTATCAACCAAGGTGGGTATCAACCAAGGTGAGTATCAAACCAAGGTGGGTATCAACCAAGGTGGGTATCAACCAAGGTGAGTATCAACCAAGGTGGGTATCAACCAAGGTGGGTATCAACAAGGTGAGTATCAACCAAGGTGGGTATCAACCAAGGTGGGTATCAACCAAGGTGAGTATCAACCAAGGTGGGTATCACCAGGTGGGTATCAACCAAGGTGGGTATCAACAAGGTGGGTATCAACCAAGGTGGGTATCAACCAAGGTGGGTATCAACCAAGGTGAGTATCAACCAAGGTGGGTATCAACCAAGGTGGGTATCAACCAAGGTGGGTATCAACCAAGGTGGGTATCAACCAAGGTGAGTATCAACCAAGGTGGATATCAACCAAGGTGGGTATCAACCAAGGTGGGTATCAACCAAGGTGAGTATCAACCAAGGTGGGTATCAACCAAGGTGGGTATCAAACAAGGTGGGTATCAACCAGGTGGGTATCAACCAAGGTGGGTATCAACCAAGGTGAGTATCAACAACAGTTGTATTATTGTGTCGAAAATCTCGTTCTAATTTCCCAGACGTTGACAGAGCGTCCCTGGGTGTCCCACAATGCGTCCCTGGGTGTCCCACAGAGCGTCCCTGGGTGTCCCACAGAGCGTCCCTGGGTGTCCCACAATGCGTCCCTGGGTGTCCCACAGAGCGTCCCTGGGTGTCCCACAGAGCGTCCCTGGGTGTCCCACAATGCGTCCCTGGGTGTCCACAATGCGTCCTGAGTGTCCACAGAGCGTCCTGGGTGTCCCACAGAGCGTCCCTGGGTGTCCCACAATGCGTCCTGGGTGTCCCAATGCGTCCCTGGGTGTCCCACAGAGCGTCCCTGGGTGTCCCACAGAGCGTCCCTGGGTGTCCCACAATGCGTCCCTGGGTGTCCCACAATGCGTCCCTGGGTGTCCCACAATGCGTCCCTGGGTGTCCCACAGAGCGTCCCTGGGTGTCCCACAGAGCGTCCCTGGGTGTCCCACAATGCGTCCCTGGGTGTCCCACAATGCGTCCCTGGGTGTCCCACAATGCGTCCCTGGGTGTCCCACAGAGCGTCCCTGGGTGTCCCACAGAGCATCCCTGAGTGTCCCATAGTCCTTTATATGCTAATGTACTGTACACTACGACTTATACGTATTTAAGCTAAGTTAGAGTTAGAATTTAACTAAGTATTGTGTTGCGGATCACAAGCTACACAGTTGTGTTGCAGATCACAAGCTACACAGTTGTGTTGCAGATCACAAGCTACACAGTTGTGTTGCAGATCACAAGCTACACAGTTGTGTTGCAGATCACAAGTACACAGTTGTGTTGCAGATCACAAGCTACACAGTTGTGTTGCGGATCACAAGTACACAGTTGTGTTGCAGATCACAAGCTACACAGTTGTGTTGCAGATACAAGCTACACAGTTGTGTTGCAGATCACAGCTACACAGTTGTGTTGCAGATCACAGCTACACAGTTGTGTTGCAGATCACAAGCTACACAGTTGTGTTGCAGATCACAAGCTACACAGTTGTGTTGCAGATCACAAGCTACACAGTTGTGTTGCAGATCACAAGCTACACAGTTGTGTTGCAGATCACAAGCTACACAGTTGTGTTGCAGATCACAAGCTACACAGTTGTGTTGCAGATCACAAGCTACACAGTTGTGTTGCAGATCACAAGCTACACAGTTGTGTTGCAGATCACAAGCTACACAGTTGTGTTGCGATCACAAGCTACACAGTTGTTGTTGCGGATCACAAGCTACACAGTTGTGTTGCAGATCACAAGTACACAGTTGTGTTGCAGATCACAAGCTACACAGTTGTGTTGCAGATCACAAGCTACCCAGTTGTGTTGCAGATCACAAGCTACACAGTTGTGTTGCAGATCTCTGAGAGAAGGTCACACCTCTACAACACAACTGTCATCAAAGATTCAAGTTAAACCATAAATTAAGGAAGGATCCAGGACTTCACCTTAGGAAACCAAATCAAATGCCATAGTAATTATGATCAAGTTAGATTATAGGGGCAAAATGAACATGTAATTAGGTACCTCAGGCGTCCCTTAACTTGTCAGTTTCCTCTGTGAGTGCCTCATTTAATAGTAATTACATACCTTGTCTTTTGGAGATCATGAAAGAACAGGGAAGTTTGGCACGTGTATCCACCAGAGATTCCTCCTTCTACTGCCTGATCACACTGCCCAGTGTCAGGATGGTCGTACGTATATGTTCTTCTACTGCCTGATCACACTGCCCAGTGTCAGGATGGTCGTACGTATATGTTCTTCTACTGCCTGATCACACTGCCCAGTGTCAGGATGGTCGTACGTATATGTTCTTCTACTGCCTGATCACACTGCCCAGTGTCAGGATGGTCGTACGTATATGTTCTTCTACTGCCTGATCACACTGCCCAGTGTCAGGATGGTCGTACGTATATGTTCTTCTACTGCCTGATCACACTGCCCCAGTGTCAGGATGGTCGTACGTATATGTTCTTCTACTGCCTGATCACACTGCCCAGTGTCAGGATGGTCGTACGTATATGTTCTTCTACTGCCTGATCACACTGCCCAGTGTCAGGATGGTCGTACGTATATGTTCTTCTACTGCCTGATCACACTGCCCAGTGTCAGGATGGTCGTACGTATATGTTCTTCTACTGCCTGATCACACTGCCCAGTGTCAGGATGGTCGTACGTATATGTTCTTCTACTGCCTGATCACACTGCCCAGTGTCAGGATGGTCGTACGTATATGTTCTTCTACTGCCTGATCACACTGCCAGTGTCAGGATGGTCGTACGTATATGTTCTTCTACTGCCTGATCACACTGCCCAGTGTCAGGATGGTCGTACGTATATGTTCTTCTACTGCCTGATCACACTGCCCAGTGTCAGGATGGTCATACGTATATGTTCTTCTACTGCCCGATCACACTGCCCAGTGTCAGGATGGTCGTACGTATATGTTCTTCTACTGCCTGATCACACTGCCCAGTGTCAGGATGGTCGTACGTATAGTTCTTCTACTGCCTGATCACACTGTCCAGTGTCAGGATGGTCGTACGTATATGTTCTTCTACTGCCTGATCACACTGCCCAGTGTCAGGATGG